TGGGTCACTTCAGGGGAACAAGGCAGAGGAGATCAGAGTGCCAGGATTATTCCTGGGTCCTCTTTGTGCCAGGAAAGGAGGCCAGAGAGAGGCTGCATGGTGGTCAGGGGCCAGGAGCCCCACAGTTGACAGTCACTTCTGCCTTGCAGCGTCGATATGAGGATTAATGGAGATCAGGTGCGTGAGACCGTGGGCCTGGCGTGGATAAGGACCTGACAGTGTTCGTTGGCACGTCCTGGGCACGTCCTGGGCACTGAGGCGTTTCCACATCGTGGCAGCCACTATCATTAGAACAGTAGCTTTGACCCACTGTGCCTGCAGAGGGGCTGCCCTACAAGTCAGTTGCGCTGTTTGGGCGTGTCCCCCAGAGTCCCCAGAATCTAAACCCCTCTTCCTGGTAAGGGCTTCTTGGGGTCTGAGATGACAGCAGCTGCTCAGAGGGAGAGACGGGCCTTTAATGGGTTGGCAAACATTTCACAGAGGTATCTGCTTGACAGAAACCAGTATGTGAGACATTTTAACCCGATTAAAACGAAGCTGGAAAATAGTTAAAGGAAAGTTGCTGGGGGGGGAGGGGGTGGACAAACCCACCCACCGTCCCACCGTTGCTTGGCGGGACCCCCGTGGAGCACAAGAGGCTCCTGCTACAGATCGAGGGAATGTCGAGATACGAGAAAGTTTCCATCAGGGCAGACAGATTTCTCTAAGATTTTTGTTTCATTTGTTTTTAAGTTAGAATCAGTACAGTTTCCTCCAGAAAAAGGAAAGTAGCTGAGGAAGAAACAGAATGACAAAGAGCCACATCTTCACAGTACAACAAAATGATCTGCTGCTGGGTCCCTGTGCTGCAGGAACCACCCTGCCACAGGAGGGCCTGGGTCCACAGCTGGCATCCTCCCCAACCCCCAGGTCCCCACTCCCTGGATGAAGCTGCTGTGAGTGTGCAGAGTGAGCACCATTCAGACCATTAGGAGTCCCACTCACGGATCCTGCTCTACACTTGACATGTGACCCCGGTGAGCCCCGGAGCTCCCTGAGCACAGTCTCCTAGACAGTTGTGAGCATCCGGGCTCCGAAAACACACGTCCTTGCTCCCTGATGTTCTTTTGTGGGCAGCTCTGCGGGACATGCATTAGAATGGGGTACAGGCCCTGCAGCCTCTGTTTGCCAACAGGGTGTAGCCTTGAGCTGCCCATCTGTGAAGAGCCCTGCCCCCGGCCTCCTGAGACAGCCCGGTCCCCATGGGCAGTCCCAGTCCCCACTGGCCCTCCCACCCCTTCCTTCACAGCCAAGACCTTTCAGAGAAGGGATGCAGTGTCTGATTGGGGTGGCGTTGACTCCTGTTCAGGGACTCCTTTGCAGCGGGTGTATGCTCTCTTGTGTCCGATAGGTTTGAGAGTCACTTTTGCATATTTGTGGCTCTAAATGCTTGAAACATCATCCAGATGCAATGCCAGCACACCGTGAGGAATTCCTAAGAAGCAGATGGCCTGTTCTTCAAGTGCATCAGGTGTACTTGAGGAGAGGAAGATACTTAGGAGCAAGCTGATGCCAAGAGATGCCTGAAAACACAGGGCTGGGCAAGAGCAGACACCCGGTGGCTGTCCAGTCTGTGATCAAGGACTTTAAATGATCGTATGCAGTGGCTTCAGAACCCGAGAGAATAGTGACCAGATGTTTCAGTGTTAAGGACCAGTGTTTACTGAGCACTCCCCAACACTGCAGGCGTGTGTGGAGCCAAGTGTGGTCAACGCACGCATGCTCACACACGCAAGCCCTCACCCACAGCAGACATCGCCAGCCCCCATGGGTCCCCTCCCTCGGGGCTAGGATGTGGCCTCATCATCCTTCTCAGTTCAGCATTCTAGGAGGTCAGTGCCTTGAGATTAGAGCTGATCTAAAATACCTCTGACTGGCCTTACATGTGTCTCCTCATTCTGCCCTTATGATTCAGTCCCATTTAACAAAGGAGGAAACTGAGGCTCAGAGAGATTCCCGTACTATTATGTGGTAGAACCAGGATTCAGTCTGTGACAGTCCGATTTCAAAGCCAGTGCCTTTAATCACTGTGTTACAGTTGTTCTCTAGACTTAACTTTTGAAAAGTGCTCAGAGAGGGCTTCCTTGGTGGCGCAGTGGTTAAGAATCCACCTGCCAATGCAGGGGTCACCAGTTCGAGCCCTGGTCCGGGAAGATCTCACACGTTGTGGAGCAAATAAGGCCGTGCACTTCAACTACTGAGCCTGCACTCTAGAGCCCGTGAACCACTACTGAGCCCATGTGCCACACTACTGAAGCCCGTGCACCTAGAGCCTGTGCTCCGCAACAAGGGAAGCCACCTCAATGAGAAGCCCGCACACCGCAACGAAGAGTAAGCCCCTGCTCACCGCAACTAGAGAAAGCTTGTGCGCAGCAATGAAGATCCAACACAGCCAAAAATAAAATTAAATAAATAAATAAAGACTTAAAAAAGAAAAGAAAAGAAAAAAAAAGAAAAGTGGTCAGAGAATCTGTTCACTATTCCATCGTGTCTTTACGAGATTGGTGACAGACAGTCCCTGGAGCCTAAGGGTTTGGCTCAGAGGGTCTCAACCCTCCACACCCCCCTGCCGCTCCAGGCTGTATCCATCCTACCCTTGGGCCATCAGTTGGCCCCTGAAAAGGCTGTCTTCCCCTAGAGAAGCAAGCCTGCCACCACTACCGCCACCAAAGCCATTTACACACACACACACACACACACACACACACACCTGCTAGGAAAGACCTTGGGAATCTTGCTGGCCTGTCACGTGGACACACACACTTTTTTCTGGGGCTGTGGGGGTCACTTCATGCGTGTGGTAGTGGATTTTTTTTTTCCATTTGAGATCATTGGCCCCATTGGCAACATGTTCTGAAGCTTAACTCAGTCAATACCAAGAGGTGCTTTAAAATAATTTTACTGTATGCCATTGATAATTTGAGTATCTTGCCCCTGTTAATAATGCCAATTTTTTCTGAGCTACAAGCAGATTTTACCTAGGTACTGCTGTTTGCTCGGACATGATACTCCCTTTTGGCACGTATATTTTCACTTCTTGAATGAATACGAGCATTCGAATTTAATGGGTGCATTGCATCAGATTCGCAAATTACACAACTCTTTAGAATCTTTATTTCTTTTATTGAATACAGTACAGGCCTGAAATCTAACTTAGGATGTGATCTGGGTTATATCCTTGCCCTAAGGCACTAAGTGACATTTATTTTATTTAAATTTTATTATTTAAAATGTCTGAAATAATATCTAGCCTCCTGCAGTGTATTCCAGTGCTTAACGATTCTTACGCTAGGAAATTGTTTTTGAAGCCTAATAAGTCTGTCTTTTCCCCTGGATGCTGTCAGTTGCTATCTCAGTGGTGGTTGGTTCCTAGATGACAAGATCATATTAAAAATAAGAGTACATTTATTAAGGATACACTGAGCGCCAGGAGCCATGCTAGGCTTTCTACTTGCGTATTCATAAATCCTTACAATATGTCTTCAAGAAAAGTGTTTTCACTCTCATTTCACACAGGAGAGAACCGAGGTGAGGGATTTGAACAGGGGTCTCCAAACCAGTAAGTAATTGAGGATTTGAACCCTGGTTTGTGAGAAATGAAAGCCTTGCCCTTTCTACTATTCCTGGTGGTACTTTTTTTTTTTTTTTATTGAAGTATAGTTGCTGTACAATATTATATAAGTTACAGAAGTACAATATAGTGATGGACAATTTTTAAAGGTTATGCTCCATTTGTAGTTATTGTAAACTACTGTCTATATTCCCTGTGTTGTGCTATATGTGGCAGTGTTGAGTCTTGCCTTGTCTCTTCTAGGTCAGCTAATTCCCACAAATGAATAGGAAGGGCTAGGTCTGTAAGCTCATCCCTCTGATTGTCCTGCTTTATGAGAACAGCTCACCTTCACAGAGAGCTTGAGAACCTTCGCTTAGTGTTTGAGTGTGGGTTGGCGGTAGTTTGTTTAACAACAGCTTTATTGAGATATAATCCACCCTTTAAGAGTGTATAATTTGGTGGTTTTTAGTATGTTTGAAAGGTTGTACAACCATCACCACGGTCAGAACATTTTCATCACCCCAAGAAGAAACCCCACACCGGTTAGAGTCACTCCCCATTCCCTTGTGTCCCTCACCACTGGCAACCACTAATCTCCTTTCTGTCGCTGTGGATTTGCCTTTTGTGGATATTTTATACAGATGGAATCCCACCATATGTGGCCTTTTGTGTCTGGCTTCTTTCACTGAATGAGTTTTCAAGGTTCATCCACGTTGTCATGTTTGTCAGTGCTTCATCCTTTTGGATAGCTGAGTAATATTTTGTTCTGTAGATATACCCCATTTTGTTGATCCATTCATCTGCTGATGGACATCTGAGTTGTTTATACTAAAAAGTAGAAGCTGTTAGGGCACGTTCACGTACAGGTCTTTGTGTAGTTTATTTTCCATTATCACGCTGACAGTTCTTTTTTTTTTTGGCTGCATTGGGTCTTTGTTGCTGTGCGTGGGCTTTCTCTAAGTGTGGCAAGTGGGTGCTACTCTTCATTGCAGTGTGCGGGCTTCTCATTGCCGTGGCTTCTCTTTGTGGCAGAGTATGGGCTCTAGGCACGCGGGCTTCAGTAGTTGTGGCACGTGGGCTCAGTAGTTGTGGCTCTCAGGCTCAGTAGCTGTGGTGCACGGGCTTAGTTGCTCCGCGGCATGTGGGATCTTCATGGACCAGGGCTCGAACCTGTGTCCCCTGCGTTGGCAGGCGGATTCTTAATCACCTGCACCACCAGGGAAGCCCCAGCCAGTTCATTTTTAACTCATCCTGAGTGGTTCGGTAAGCCTTCCATTTGGTTGCGCCTTCCATTTGGTTGCGCCATTTGTTGTGTGACAGCAAATTGCAACAGCAGCTGACTTGTTTGAATCACATAGTGAGGTCATGTTGCCTGAGTGAGCTCCCACGGTCTGTGTTTTTCTCGTAGACCTGCCCATCGTGCAGAATCATGTTTGCTCCCAAATTGGAAGCTGGCGCTGAAGGCGGAGCAGTCCAGAATGGCTGTCAGGAGGAGCCCAAGAAGAGCACCAAGGTAACCTGCTCTGGGCTGTGGTCCCTGTCAGTGCCTCTCCTGGTGCACCCACCTGAGGGGACATCCTGTCTGGTCAGCTTCTCAGTTCCAAGGGCAACTCCTCTTGGGTGACACCATTGCATACCTTCGAGTCCTCTGGGTTTTGAACAGACCGATAAATAGCAGGATGGATGCTGACCTGCATGGGATACCCTGACGGGCAGTGAGACCTGCGGAGCTGGAAGCTGGACTCAATGGCTGGTGGGATGTGGATGTGGAAGGAGAAGAGGGGAACCCTTAGGGTGAGAGGTGGGGCGTGAGGAGGGCTTGGGTTAGGCCAGCAGCAAGGGCAGTGCAAAGAAGTCTCGCCTGGAGACCAGACCCAGGAGCCTCCAAGCAAGCTTATGAATCAGGCGACTCTCCAGGGAGGTGCAAATCTGTCATCCTCATCCTCGGGTCGTTGGCCCATGGACCTGCACGTTGCTGGGTCATTCCACGTCATTTGTGTCCAGTCACCCCTTCTTTTATTTTAATTGGAGTACAGTTGTTTTACAATGTTGTGTTAGTTTCTGCTGGAGAATGAACTGAATCAACTGTATGTATACATATATCCCCTCCCTCTTGAGCCCACCTCCCATCGCCCCATCCCACCCATCTAGGTCATCACAGAGCACCAGGCTGAGCTCCCTGTGCTATACAGGAGGTTCCCACTAGCTATCTGTTTTACACATGGTAGTGTGTATATGCCAATCCTAAAAACCCAAAGCATCCCACCCTCCCCTTCCCCCACTGTGTCCACATGTCTGTTCTCTATGTCTGTGTCTCTATTTTTGCCCTGGAACTAGGTTCACCTGTACCATTTTTCTAGATTCCACATATATGTATTAATATATGATATTTGTTTTTCTCTTTCTGACTTACTTCACTCTGTATGACAGACTCTGGGTCCATCCACATCTCTACAAATGACCCAATTTCATTCCTTTTTATGGCTGAGTAATATTCCCTTGTATATATGTACCACACCTTTTTTATCCATTCATCTGTCAATGGACATTTAGGTTGCTTGGGGTGACTGATTATTAGAGAAATGCAAATCAGTCACCCCCTTTCTTAAGCCGCAGCCCTTATAGCTCTGGGTTTCCTTTCTCTGGATCCACCCCTGCACTTCCTTTGAGTCCTCCTGGCTCCTGGAATGCTGGTTCTGTGGTCAGGAAACTCTGCGAGCCTCCCCAACTCCTGCCTCAGCCTTCCCCCTGACCTCCTTACCGCCTCTTCCCCTGACACCACTGTCCTGGGCGCCTGGAGGTGTGTTTGGAGGAGCCAGGGGGAATGGGGAAAAGCAGACTGGCGGAGAGGCGGAGCGCTCAGGTTAGAGCAGAGATCCAAAGGTGCAGGTTGTGGTGTGCGGGGCACAGTCCAGGGTGCTCCAGTATGGCCGCGTTATGGGGGATAGTGCTGCTGCATCCCACGCTTCAGCCTCTGTGTCTGCCCCCACCCCCTTATCCTGACACAGGCTTCTGGAGGACCCAGTTCCAAAACGCAAAACGGACTGCTGAGCCCTCCCCCGGAGGAGAAGCTCACCAACAGTCAGACCTCCCTGTGCGAGATCTTACAAGAGAAGGGAAGGTGGGCAGGTGTGAGCTTGGACCAGTCAGCCCTCCTTCCGCTGAGGTTCAAGAACATCCGGGAGAAAACGGATGCCCATTTTGTTGATGTTATCAAGGAAGACAGGTAAGATGCAGCCACCTGCCTTAAAGCGAAGATTTGCAGGTAGAAGCTCCCGCTTTTCTGAGTCACCTCACCCGCCACGCATTTGCCTTCTATTGTCAGTGTATTTTGAAATAATTTGAAACTTACAGAAAAGTGGCATGAATAATACAAAAGATTCCCTTTACACCCTTTGCCCGATTTACCAACTTTTTTTTGTGTGTGTGGTACGCGGGCCTCTCACTGTTGTGGCCTCTCCCGTTGCAGAGCACAGGCTCCGGACGCGCAGGCCCGGTGGCCACGGCCCACGGGCCCAGCCGCTCTGCGGCATGTGAGATCCTCCCAGACCGGGGCAAGAACCCGTGTCCCCTGCATCGGCAGGCGGACTCTCAACCACTGTGCCACCAGGGAAGCCC